GCCTGGCGGTCTCGATAGGCCTTCAATCAGCACGGCCGCAGATGCAATCTCAGCTTCAGTTCTCGTAAAGTACGGTGTTGCGGTTGCATATTGGTCAGCTGCGACGCAAAACCCTTGTGCCTGTACTAAGAAATGTTCCGTATCGAGAAATCCCGCCTGACCAGGTTTTGTAGTCAATTCTGTTTTTAGCAGTCACGTTTCTCGAAACGCTGCCAATTATACTCTTCCGACTGTCATGGCTAGATATCTGCGCACATGTTGGCCTTCCTACATCTCCAAGCACACCTGCTTTCTGCACTTGCTCATGCTCGCTTCTAGCCCTGAATCCAGTTAGTTTTACAAGAGTGCACGCACCCCAAGCGTATTTCGTATATATTTTAAACCCTGAACCGAAGGCCTAAAGCCCAAATATAGAATGGATTCGTTGAAATGATAAGCTATTGTTGTATCACGTAGTCGTCAAAGATCCATTCATGTCCACCTTTTACGGAACATCATGTTCGTAATCCCGGACGGAATGTTCCGTCGGTGAGTTATTGTAATGTTATTGACATGCATTTTCCATTGCGCACAATCAATCAGGTGCTTTCATTTCTTACGGATGGTAGCATTGTCCAGGAGCGTAGGAGCATTGCGGAAGGGGGGGGGGGGCTTATCGTATTTGGAGGTTTATTCTTTCCATACATTGCCCAGGGTTGATTAGCTTTTACAAATAGAGGAGAGTGATAGTGCCCCTATCGCCATTTCAGCAAGGCATGTTGCATTTTTGAAAGTCTTACACACCTTGTTAGTTACGGAACATTTCCAAGCGCAGAATGGCAAAAGCTCAAAAGCCACCTCAAAAGCCAAGTCATCCTCAAAGTGTGCTTCTCAGTGCAAATGAAAAGTGCAAATGACCCCCAAAAGGAGCACCTGTACACTTTAAAAGCTGCATGATCATCAGAACGAAGGGCAGTTAAGTCGAAGTCGAGGGGCATCGAATGTCTACGAAGATCTCGTTCTCGTTTGAACGCTTCTAAACCTTCTCGGCATGCCACGCAACGGCCAGAAAATATCGCCTTCGTACACTTGCCCGTCAACAGTGCATGTGCTGCCCTTTGCCGCTTTCTAGATAAGCCAGGCGCATCTAGCTGTCAATTTGCTGCAGCAGGAATGTGGCCAGTAAGTTCCTCCTCGTCCGGCGGAGCGGCGGCATTAACCACCTGTCCCCGAGCGGCGGCCTTAACCAGCGACGTGGGCTGGTAAAACTGCTGGGCCCTGCCTTCGGTCTATCTAGGCTTTTTTGCGCCCAATTGCTCCGCCTGCCTTAGATTTGAGTAAATTCAGTTTGCGATTTAGAGTTGGTTGAAGCATGGCTTTAACACTTGTTTGTTGTCACATGCACTGCTTCATTTTCTCGGCCGTTTTATGTTGGGTTCAGATCGCTCCGTGTCGGACGGGAAAAATGAGCTACAAGTTGGGAGAAGGCGCCCTGAGCCCCTGTGCTGAATTCTGAGCCACACCCCAGTTTGAACTAGCCAACATGAATGAGTACTTAAAAATAAGTCTATCATTCATACGACTCGTTTAGGGATAATCCAACTTGGTGGTTGCACGTGTATTTGTCGCAGATCCAAATCTAAAGCGTTGGACTCAGCATTAAGCTGATGATGTTTGTGATACTTGCCCCAAAAGCTTCATCGCATTATTTTTCCCTGAGCGGACTGCAGTCTGTTATCTTGAAACGATCATTGACGTTGCAGACGCCGTACATGCCAGTTCTCCCTCATCTAAGCTTCGGCAGGTCAACGTCAAGCAATTTTTTCCTGACTTCTGTCTCTTTTTCATCGGTGCTCTCCACGGGGGTGTTCTGCTCACCACCCTCTTAACTGTCCTCCGGTATGCGCTCTCCACACCACACTCACACGACACCACGCCACCGCGCACCTCCCACCTGAGGTGCTCTGCTCTTCTTCTGGCCCTGGCGCCAACGAGCAGGTCCGTACGTCAGCCCTGGTTCGGCGGAGCACGTCTGGGCTCCGGTATGGCGTGGGGAGGGGTGAGGGCTGCGTCCGACTGACGACTCCGGCGGACAGGGTGCGGGGCTGGTCCCGCCGATGGTATCTCGGCGCGGCACGGGCGTCTCCCAGGCGGCCGCTCCGGCCGCGGCGCCCTCGGCCGGGTCTCAGACGGGCGAGGGCGGGGCTGACCTGACCGGGCGACACGGGTCGGCGGACCGAACATCAGGGAGAGGTGCCGAGGGACGGACAGGGGCGGGGCTGACCTGACCGCGTGACGCGGGTCGGCGGACTTAACATCAGGGAGAGGTACCGAGGGACGGACAGGGCGGGGCTGACCTGACCGGGTGACACGGGTCGGCGGACCGAACATCAGGCAGAGGTGCCGAGGGACGGACAAGGTCGGACTGACCAGACCGGGTGACACGGGTCGGCGGACCGAACATCAGGGAGAGGTGGCGAGGGACGGACGGAACGCCTGTACCAGGTGAACCAAACTTTGGTAACGACTGGGTCCGCGACATGGAAAAACTGAGTGCTATTGCTGCCGAGTGGTAAGTTAAAAAAGAAAACTTGGAAAAAACGAAACACGTGGATGCAAAGTGAACCAAGATACATCAAGCTTATCATGTATATATATATATATATATATATATATATATATATATATATATATATATATATATGCATATATTTGCACGGGGTGTGAATGAAAGCTGTCGTGCTAAAATGAACAACTTTGACTCATAATCCACCAATCAGTGGGAATTAATAAATTTTAAAATAGCATGGCAAGGCTTATTTCAGAATTTCAGGCAAGATGCAGCCTAAATCGATACGGAGGAAATTGCCAAACTGCCGTCGACGCTCTGGCTTTCATTTCACACAACCAACCGGATTCACTAGCAGCATCTGACAGCCAGTAGCCTCGGTTCGGCCTTGCCTGGGTGGGAATGGTCACATCGCTCATTTTTGACGCTGTCTAAACAGCCGGACCAAATGACTTTAGATGTGTGATCAATTCACGATGTGAAGCCCGGTAGCTTTATAAGAAACCCGGTACAGCAGGCTGGTGAAGAGCTTTGTCACGATTGCCCTTGCACCTTAATAGCACGTACGCTGAGCTTTTATTGGTCAGTAACGGCTATCGTCTTATGGTTTATAGCTGATATTCTTCTCCAACGATTATTAAACGGATGCACGGAAATATTATGGTATCTAAAACACACGATGTCGAAGCATTATGCACACGCAAGCTTAATCATGCTCGGTTCACCGGAGATATATGTGTAAGCGTTTCTGCGGCTTTGGATGAGCAATCTGTAGAATGGTGCTCTCTAGAACGCTTATCTAAGCTTACCACCTGTTCATCCTTTAAGGCGCATCAACACCCACCCTTTGGCGTATAACTTGTTTTGACTCATACCAAATGACGCCTAGGTGCTGATGGCTTTCCCTGTCACAGTGCCGTTGACACACACGCTGTGGATCTCGTCTAGTGGGGAGGGGGCCTACAACGTGGCAACGGCTGTAATCGGTCATGCATCGACATCAAACGCCTCGGGACGCTCAGGCATTAATGAGAGCCATTATCCCTCCCAATGCATATAACCACATTCGTTACGAGAACGATTGGCAATCTCCGGAAGCAAAGCGGCCACCCGAGCAGAATAGCAGAAGCAGAGCAGGCCAGCGGTTTTCGCGTTGGATCCATCTAATCATCACGAGAGTTGTTGCAGGGCTTTGGCACCGGCAGGCCGCACTGTGACTCGCTGCTGAGCAGGCGTGTACAGCGTAAGCCATGCAGACCAGGCACGACGCTGGCGATAATACTCCGGCCGGGAGACGACCGAGAAAAACGAGCTTGATCGAGAGGAACACCCAGACTGTGTCCGCGGGTGGTCAGCACCATGTTTTTGTGTCGCTCCGTTCTAAAGGGAATTAAGCTCATAATTTCCGTCGTCAGGCTCGGCAACGCGGAAGGAGGAGATAATATGGGAAGGAAGGCAACAGCCCGCGGCGCGACCCGTTCAAGGCATAAGAACTGGGTACGGTCGAAAATCCCCACCGCACCATGTGCTCGCAATGATTTATTAGTTGAAATGAGCGGCTCAAAAGCTGCTCTGCGTGACAAAGGGCCCGCTTCGCTAATCAGCCATCACTCACACGTAACCGAGGCGGACGTGGTGTGCACACACGCCCGTCGGCCGGCGGCGGCGTCATAAATCCTCCCTTGTCGTCGCAACTGCCGGCTGCCAGTGGCAGCGGCCGCGGCAGCGGCGGCCACCCATCAATTACGGGACAGCCCGGCGCCGGGGGCGCCGTGGCCGCCGGCGTTCGGCGTTGGCGACTGCTCGGGCCGCCGGTGACCCAGCCCACGTGACGCCGCCCGCCCTGCCAGTCGGTGCCGCCGGGCGTCGGCAGTACCGTTTGAGTTCGCCGGCTCACTTATTAATGGGCGATTGTCGTGGTCCCAGTCACGCCCACCCATTTAGAGTGGGCTCTCTTCGTCAAGTTCATGTTTAAACAAATGAAATCGTGGTGATCTGGGCGTTATGGATCCCGGGCGGTCGGCGCCGTCGCGGTTTCCCCGCGGGATATGCGGGCTTTCGCCCGACTCGGCCGGCGTTGCGAATTAATTAATACGATTACCCAGAAGTGACGGAACGCCTGCGGAATGGCTCATATCTCAGTCTCGTCGTCACAGCTCGCCGTACGGGTTACGAAGCGGAACCAGATCCCGCCTTTACCGTCCCGTGGCCGAGTGCTCTTGATGGCAGCCAACCGGTTGAGCGATCCGCGAACGGGGCAGAGACTGCACAAGCTCGCACAGAAGAGTTTCGGAAGGCGCATGTGACTGTGGCTGCTTCTCGAGCGCATGCATTCAGACGACCTGTGGGATTGTCTTCGAGACCCTTCCATCAAGTGCATTCGGCGAAATGTCCGCCCGAGCCGGTGCGCGGTGGAGCATTTACATGTATTATTCGCTGTCGTGCATTTCAGGAACCTGGGCATGCAGGGCCTGGACGTGTGGAGGAACCCGCAGATCTACGTGGTCGGCACGTCACCGTTGTGCGGCAGAATATCGGGTCTCAGCCCTGGACAGAGAAAGCTCTGTCAGTTGCGACAGGTCAGTCATGCCGAGCCTCTGCAGTGCAGGCAGGTCGTCCAGAATGACCTACCCCTTCACTGCAAGCGGGCTAGTCAGAGCAATCCACTGCGGTGCGGATCGGTCAGTCAGACCGACCTGCGGTGCAGACAGGTCAGTCAGACCGACCTGCGGTGCAGACAGGTCAGTCAGACCGACCCCCCCTGCAGTGCGGACAGGTCAGTCATACCGACCCTCCTGCGGTGCGGACAGGTCAGTCATACCGACCTGCCTGCGGTGGCGGACGTGTCAGTCAGACCGACCCTCCTGCGGTGCGGATTGTCAGTCAGACCGACCCCTGCGGTGCGGACAGGCCAGTCAGACCGACCCCCCTGCAGTGCGGACAGGTCAGTCAGACCGACCTCCTTGCGATGCAGAGAGGTCAGTCACACCGACCTCCCTGCGATGCGGAGAGGTCAGTCAGACCGACCTGCCTGCGCTGCTGACAGGTCAGTCATACCGACCCCCCTGCGGTGCGGACAGGTCAGTCAGACCGACCCCCCTGCAGTGCGGACAGGTCTTAGCCGGAGCCAGAACTATCTGTGTTGGTGTGAATAAGTAAATCAGGTCAGACTCCCTGAAGAGATAATGATGACGAGGGCGCTAATTGAGACTCCCTAGTCGAAAAGCTATCGCACCTCAGTCGCTAACATTCCATGAAGCTATTTGTACTATATATCACTCGCAGCGAGACATTTAACGCCTCTCAGCAAAATATGTTTCATTAATATCCCAGACGTCGCTTTCTTTTAGATTTTAAAGCCTCAGCATACAGTTGCAGCTGTGGTGACCCCTGCCTTCCTCTCAGCCATATAGCTCTTCACTCTCACATCCTCTTGCAAGCTTGCCGCCGCAGGCCGGTTGGCCAACACCCTCCCGCCCTCCAACGGCATACTCCGCTCGTCTGCGGCCGTGCCGCCGTGATTGGCTGGCGGCGCATGGCCGTGACCCCGCTGACCTGACGTGACCCCGCAGGACCACATGGGGAGCGTGGGCCGCGGCGCCCGGGCAGGCATCGCCGAGTGCCAGCACCAGTTCCGCAACAGCCGCTGGAACTGCTCCACCGTCGACGACTCGTCCGTGTTCGGACCCGTCCTGCAGATCCGTGAGTGGCAGGCGAGCGCTCAGACGCGATAGCGCAAAGATTCCGTGACGGCGAGGCATGGGATCAGCACGGTAGACTTGCACTTAAGTCACGATTGACTTGGAAGTTGCACGCTGCATTTGGCGTGACTTACCTGACAGACACGATCAAGGTGATATAGCCTGTTGGTGGAGTGCATCTATTTGCATTTATCAAGCAAATCATCATCTTAATAAGCACTGAAGGTGACATGCGTCAGCAATCCGTCGAAAACACACACATACGTTTTTGCAGACAAACCAAAAAAGTTAAAAATCCTGTTTGGAAAAAACTTTGACCTTTATCAAAGCTAGTCCATATTCCTGTACGTCGATAACTATCCCGGGCGAGGGCCACAGGTCAGCCTTCCACCAACTAAGCGTTGTGTTTTTGTGACGTCAGTTTGCCCCGAACTCTGCCAGCTCGGCCCGGGGGCGCCTAGTAGTTTGGCCGCGTCCGGGAAACTGGAAGCACGTGTTTGATTCTCCTGGGCGTCCGCTCTTCCTGCCAGGGTGAGAGGCAGGCGGGGCCATCTGGCCTCAGCAACTGAGTGCGTCATGAAAACAAAAAAGCATGACATGACAAGACAGTTTCGCCGCGGGAGTGTCAGTTTGGTCCGCAGTGCGTCGGCTTGGCTACCGCCGGTTGGCTCGCTCACAGCTGATTGGCTCGTGCTGACCCGTTCTCGGGTCGAGTATTGCCCCTCCCCCCTCCCCCGGCGGCGGAGGTGCCGTGATGTTGTTTTGCAGTCTAGACGCTTCAGTCGGACGAGCCCATCTGCCAACCAGCAGACGCCGAGAGTGCGCCTGCTGCTCTGTGCTGCCGTAGCGGTGTTCGCATGGACTCAGTTTGGCGTGCACTGGCCAGTAGATGCCGCTTTTTTGTTCCGGGTAACAGTAAACATGAATATCAAGGCCAAGTTTCCTCGACACGTCGCGTGCTTAGTGATGCCGTTGCACCTTAGCGAATGAATGGCAATTGCCTCTTTGTTCAGGAAGTGCCGTGTTCCTGACATGCAGGCAGGACATTTAGGCAGGGCTCAGCTTACCCAAGCGACTCCCTGAGAGCCCACAGATCTGGCTGGCACTTGAAGTTTCGTGCGGGTGCTAAACATGAACCATTCCATCCTGTTTGGTGGCCTCTCTAGGTGACGTTTGTTCGACACACAAAGTTTACAATTGGCCCCGTTAATTGGCGTGTATTGCCCCAAACTCGGTCCGTTGTCGGCCCTCGGTTGTTTTCCTCTGAGTTGGTGCTTACTCAGTGATTGCCCTATGTAAACACAATGGCTGTGCCTTACGGTGACCCCTGGCGCGCAAACACGGCGGAACCGCGTGGGAACGCCAAGGAAACAAAACTACTCGGTCATACGGCGAGCCACGAGGTAATCAACTTAAGTGCTGAACCGCCCCCACGTGGCCCGGGGTGACCCGGTGTGAATCACGCCGCAGTCTACGGAACGGGCCTGCTGAGTCACCCGGCAGTGCCTGGCAAGACTCCCCGTTGTCTGGCTGTCTTATGGCCCGCGGCTGGTCCGTGCGACTGGCTGCGATGCCAGGGGCGATACGGATTCCACTGGCGCAGTGACGTGGCTGGGGTTTGGCCCAGCAGAAGGCCAAATGGGGTCAGAGTATTCTGCTCTTTCGGGCAAAGGGGCACTCTTGGTCGACACCCTGTTTTGGTACAAAGGTCGGTTTACGGGAGGTTTGGGAACTTATTTTGATGCATTGGGGCCTGTTTTGTATGTTCCAGAAGCCTGACGAGCGTCTTAGACGGTCAAAAATTGTAAGGCCTTTGATCCCAGTGGGGCCCCGTCTCCCTGGGGAAGGGGCCCAAAAGCTACCCATTTAGCCACGTCAGTCTTGCTCAAGAGTGGAAAAGGTAGAGCGATGACAACTTTAATGCGTAGCTCCAGTGCGAAGGCTAACCGAAGTAAAGATGCAACGAAAGGAATATGAAACAAATGCATCCAAAATATGCCCGTTGGGCAGTTACATCACCTGGCGTGCTCTGAAGACTTCACGTCCGGAAATAGCTGCACCCTGGAGACGTCGCAATATGTCAAAATCCGTCGTCATTGTGGTGACCTGGCCAGTGCTCTGGCAACGTCTCTGGAAGCGGCGTTCACGCACTACATCGCGGCCGCTGATCAGGTGACCTGACCTGGCCTCCGACAAAGTTTTGGAAGGCGGCATTCGCTCACACCATGGTACACCGGTGTGACAACCTGACCTGACCTGACCTGACCAGACCTTACCTGACCTGACCTCTGACAGCGTCCCGGGAGGCGGTGTTCGCGCACTCGATCGCGGCCGCCGGTGTGGTGACCTGACCTAATCTGACCTGATCTCCGGCAGCGTCCCGGGAGGCGGCGTTTGCGCACTCGATCGCGGCCGCCGGTGTGGTGACCTGACCTGACCTGACCTGATCTCCGGCAGCGTCCCGGGAGGCGGCGTTCGCGCACTCGATCGCGGCCGCCGGTGTGGTGATGTCGGTGTCGCGCGCCTGTCGGGATGGTCAGCTGGCCTCCTGCGGCTGTTCCCGGTCAGCACGACCGGCTGACCTCGACCCCGAGTGGACCTGGGGCGGCTGCGGCGACAACATCCAGTACGGCTACAGGTGAGGGGCATGGCGCCCACTGCCGCCAGCGGATCGGTTGCTCGTCTGGGGCGGGGCCTGGACCAGCCGCGCTCGGGTGCGGTGCGGCTGCTGTCGACATGACGACATCGTGGTTAGTGTATTGGACACCTCGCTTTCAGTTGTTGCCCTCGTCTGCTTGTGTTCAGTTTCACAAAAGAACACACAATTCATTCCACGAGTTACATCGTGCTGACTCCACGTGGGATTGCAAAAAGTAAATGGCCAGTGTCTGGTGCGCAATCCTTTTGTGCTGGACTGAATGTCTCAAGTGACTCGAGCACTAGAGCAGACCGGCCATTGCTATTCCCATGCTGGAATGGGACATCGACGCCTCGCCCGGAACACAAAGCAGTCCAATTTCTGGACTTAACGATAAATCATCGCGACCAGAGATACTAAGCCAGCGACAACGCGGGGCGAAGAGTTATGGCGACAAATGCCTATTAAAGTGATGGACGGCCACCAACAGAACAGCCTGGAGCTTAGCAGCAGCCTTGATCGCGGCAGTAAAGCGCTGACGGCGGGGAAAGATTTAGAGTTACCCTCGTTTCCTAGTTCAGCCCGTTCGCTCGCAATTTATTGCTCAGAAATGACGAAAAATGCCTTTGTGTGGACGGTTTTAAAGTGAAGAAACAACTATGAAAGCGACTTGTTTGATGTATGGCAGCTTTATCATTCGAGAATCGGGGATGATAAAGTATACATTATTGCAAAGCAGGCGTAGATATTTCAAATCCAATGAGGCCTCAGCAGAGTCTACGCATTCTTGGTGTAAATTATCCGTTAGTAGTGTTTAAACTACCTTTTCGCTCCGTTTGAAATAGTCACTTTATATGTAAATCGAGCACCTTAACGCTTCTACGATGTCGGGTTGTTCGGGCGGAGGAGGTGTTCGCCGCTACTGTGAGGACTGGTGAGGTGCTTGGAGTGAGGAGTATCTAAAATGTTTTGCAAACAGCTGTCGGGCAACGCGAGCTGCCAAAATATTAAGATAAGACTTCCTGCCAAAATCAACTTCTTCCAGTTGAAGACACATGGATTGCCGAAAAATTACTCAAAAGTTGGTCTATAATTACACATACAACACACATTTTGGGGCTTTTGAAATAACGAGTCATATCACGAACAAAACTGAACCAAAATTCATACCCTTACCGTTGTATTGTTATTTTTCCGACCATTGTTAACCTTATTGTATTGACCTTTTGCACGATAGATAAATGCACTGAAAAGCTTTCTCAATTTAAAAAAAGTTTTTTTATGTTTTATCGAGCTATAGTACATGATAGACTCACTGATAAGGAAAAAGTTGTGTTTATGAAAATTCCTCAGCATGCAATAGGGGAAGCATATGTATCGAACTAAGAACATGTTCTTGATATTTAACGAGATGGTTCAAAGGCATTTCTCAAGCCCATACCTTAAGTTCACCCACAAACTAGGAAAATACTAGGCCCAGGAATCAGCAATATGCATCAGTCGAGGGCGTCGGATGCCGGCTGCCCCATTATTGTTCACATCGTTGCTGCGTGGAGTAAGACGGGTTTTAACACGCGCTCGGGCGGGGGTGAAATTGATCCCCCCGAAGGTTTTCCAGAATGGTTTCCGAACGGCACGGCGTAGCCGCGCCAAATTTTCAGAGCTGTTCACAATTAAATAACGGAGTGTTTAATGCAAGAAATTTAGATGCACCTTTTAAGGTCACTGACCTACGGCAGGTCAAAATCAGGCCATGGTTTCAGCAAAGTCAATTTCTAGGGAATCGTTCAATCTTATGCAACAACAGAGTGTTTGACAAAGCTTTACATCTTTGAGATGCCTTATATGGCAACACAGGCATTGAATGAGTAAGTTAAGTTGACCAAAGGTCACGTATGAAGGTCTGACCAAAGTCAAAACGAACCTGTTTTATTGCTCTAGAGCTAGGGCTTGGTATTTTCCGGTGCTCATTTTGAATATATTGATAGCATGAACCGCATCATACATTTTCATTTGACTTCTTAGAGGTTCTAATAGGTCATTGACCTAAGATGCCCCAGGTCGACATTTTTAAAGAACATACTACCAAGCGCAGTCTTTGTCCCTTATTCAAATGCAAAACTCGGGGCAGTCTTGTGTGATTTTGGTTACCATGATCTTCAAAAGGTCAAACAAGGTCACCGACCTTAGCTGAGCATGTGACCTTTTGCTTAGAAATAGTCTTCTAGGTTCGGGGAGCACTTTGGATACCAACCCGATATTTGGCCTTGTTTGGCCTTCTTTGGCTCCATACCTGTTCATTAAGGTGTGATCTTGCTTATAAATTTCTGTGAAACACGTCTCGCTAAAAATCGCTGATAAATTGGTATGTGGTAAGAAAATAAACACTGAAAAGTTTTAAAAAGGTTCTAAACAGTTTTCCACCGTATTCCGTCGTAAAAACGGCCAGTATAAAATGACATGCCGAAAAATGCAAGTGCTGTAACTAATAAAGTGATTTTCTGTGCTCACACACGAAATGTCTACCTGCTGCCCAAGCAATCCAACGCATGTAATTTTAAATCAAAGTAAACGAAACAATAAGGCCCATGAATTTCGAACTCAATGTTCTAACATTCACCCGCCTGACAACGCTGTTGCAGATTCGCCAAGGCCTTTGTAGACGTCAGGGAGAAAGAGCGAAAACGCAAGAAGGGGTCTGTCAAGCACGGAAGATCCGTGATGAACCTACACAACAACGAGGCTGGACGAAGGGTGAGAATGTCGGCGTGCCTACGAGGCGGAACATCGTGTCCGACGTAACTAAACCAAACCTGCGCCTCGGAGCAATGTCCCTTCAACACACCACCAGCATGGCATCACGCGAGCACGTTACAGGCTGGGGCTTCACTGCGATGCATATGCCTGAAGTTTGAGATGAAATATCCTTATTACAAAGAGGATGTTAAGAGCTCAGAATTGGTTGGTGGAAACCAATGTTGACATCTGGTAAACCATGCTTTTTCACTGTCCTTTGTGATAGAAGATCAAAAGTATACTTCACAATATCTTGCTGAAGTGCAAATAATTTGCTGTGTTGCCTTGAAACCGCGCATGACAAAGCAAACTGACCCGAAAACCTGTTGAAGCAGGCTTCTCCGGTCCGTCGTGGGCTGAAAGGCGTGCCAGATGGCTGCGCCTTCCGCGAAGTCCCTTTTGCTAAAAAAGTATCGAGTTCTCACGGCGTTCTCACAGCATTAGCGACGCGTTACACCGTTCTTCCTCCGTCTCACCCAATCTGCATGGCTAATAACTAATTACTCAGCGTTAATTGTATGGCCCCATTTCGGAGCCGGCACCGGGCCTGCTTTCTACTCGGGCCGGCCGGTTGACGATGGCGAGCCCGACCGCTGCCAGCGGCCGGCGCGCTCGGCTGGGCTCGGGCGATGCACGGCCGCCGCCGGCCAGTGTTTTCCCCGCGGACGGCGGGCGCATGCCACACAATTAGCGGTCTGTTAGCGGGTACGGCTCCGCGCGGGCCGGCTCCAATCAGCGCTCGTAAATCGAAGAATTTGTGTCAGGGTGCCGAACGAAACGTGCCGCTAACGGGGCGATTCATGTCCAGGTTATGACCGAGCGGCCATAAATTTATTAGGGTTGGGTTGCGGGTCAGCACGGTCCCGCAACGTGAAGCCATGCCGGTGCAGTGTATCTGATTATTTCCGGTGGGCGTTTATGGGGTATTAATCTGCTGATAACTATCGGTGAGTCGTGCGCTGTATGGTGTCTTACGTGCCTTCGCGGACGTGCAAGCAGGCAGTGGGCTTACTTGAGCTGAGAGATACGCCCCCGTAAGGACGTCTTTATTCGGTTACATGAAGGATTTCACCTGATCTGTAGATTGGATAGTTGCAGATTGTCGTGCGCGCGAGACATAAAGACCAAGAGATGCGATGTTGCGCGGGTCATTTGCTTTGACACGCCACAATCCCCTCGTCTCCAGACCGCTAGCACTGAGCACGTGTTCTGCGGCTGAGTCTGCCGAGGGTGCAGCGCTCACCGCTTGCAGTCTAGCCATCTGATAAGCTCTCAACCTCAAACGCACGGTCGTTCAGATGTCCCCACTCGCTCCATCTCGCTGACCTCCGGCCCTCATTGTCACCTCCGCCCCTCGCCGTCACCCCCGCGCGCGTTCGCCCCGGACAGGACAGGGCGGGCGGACGGGTGTGGGTGCGGGCGCGTCTTCTGGTGCGGCCCGCCGCCGAGCTGCGCTCCGGAGCTGCCGACTCCGCCGCCACCGGCCGCCGGTGTCTGCGCCGGCGGCCGGTGACGTGCCGTTCCGTGCGTCCTGCGGACCGCGGTGCACCGCGTCCGTCTGACAACGGCGACCATGCGGCATACAAGGCGTCGATGCCACAAACTACTGTGAACCTCGATAACCTGACCATGGAAAATGATCCGATATTCGATACTGCCTCTCCAGCTAACGCTTTACATGCCGTGTCCGTTGGACCATAGATACTAGGTTGGTCTGACCTTGGTTGTGGGGCCTATGTGGCCCTGGGTTCCGTTGTCTTCGGATATCTGTAAACTGAGTGCTTCTGGAGATCGTTGGTGCGATTTCTACACTAAGCCCGATACCACGCATGATCGCACGGTTTGATTTGACTCGTCCTTCGGGCACCTCAAATTCCATTTCAGCTGTCAAAACGTCGCATTGGGTTGCACCGTTGTCTACTCATGGCGAGCCGGTGCAGTAGCATGCATGTGCAGCGCCAGGGCAGACACGGCGCCAACACTTCCATGGTTCATGTTTGACCGGTCGGTGTCCGGATCGCAGCATACGACAAGTGCAGCGGACACACAACGTCGAGGCGTATCGTGCACACGCATCTAGTATAGACGCGGCAACACGAGCATGACCCGTCGCTGATTGCTGACGATGGCTGACCCTCCCCAGTCGGTGATCAATCTGACCAAGGTCAACTGCAAGTGTCACGGCGTGTCGGGGTCGTGCTCGACCGTGACCTGCTGGCAGCGACTCCCAGCCTTCAGGGAAGTCGGTGAGTATCTATCTGCCCGCGCCGCCGTGGCGCACACTGAGCGCGTACCGCCCACGGCACGGCCAGACGGACGCCTCAGGTGACCGGCGCGCGGTAGCCCCGCCCCCTTCCCCATTCATCGCCGCTGTCGTCGGGCAATCAGCTGTCTCCGCACCAGTCGGCTGGCCGGCGGCGTTCACGGTGCAGCGCGCCGCTTTGCCCCCCCCCCCCCCCTCTGATAACGCGCCGCTGACCGGCGACGCCCTGGGTCAACGTGGTTACGCCAGATCGCTGCTGATAGGCTGGCTCGGTTTCCGGCCACGCCCCCTCCCGCCCTGATTGGTTGATGCGGTGTCCTCGGTCCTGCGTCGCCGTCATCGGCGAGTATAATGCGAAATCATGAAGGATACCGTGTTTGCTTGGGAAAGCCTGCCACCCGGTCTCTTCCGAGACAACTTTACAGGGTTTTTTGGTGGCATGAACCCCGCGTTCCACCAGCGTCAGTCCCTCGTCCGTAATGTGTTGAAACGTTGTGCGTGCTCGCATGAGCTCCGTCGCAGCGGGGGAGGGACGCATGGAAGACAACTTCCCCAACCTTGCGTGATTGAACGCCAGGGGTCGTTGCATGAAAAGAAGTGCCTCATAAACGTCGAGCGTCCCCCAGACTTTTGATAAGGGGCGCACTCCCGGTATTGTTGGTGCACATGCCCCATCGTGTGCAGGACCGCAAGAGCATTTCAAAATCAGTTGCTTGAGATTACAAGCCCGCCATCGCAATCTATACCCATATCCATCGGGCTGAGATGTCACATTACCATGGCGCATAATATCGGTGCACCGACACTGGAGCGGCGGCAGCGCGCCGGCAGCCGTCACCCGCCGACATCGGTCTGCAGCCGCACCTGTGCGCCCTCGTCCCCAGGTGACCTGCTCAAGGACAAATACGACGGCGCCACGGAGGTGCAGGTGACGCGGCGCGGCCGCCTGCGCGTGCGGTACCGCGGCTACAAGCGACCCACCGCCAACGACCTGGTCTACATCCAGGAGAGTCCCGACTACTGTCGCAAGAACACCACCGTCGGCTCGTCAGGT